AAAGGCTGTTCAGTTTTCCTAGTTAAGTGTTCCTGGTTTACTGAAGAGGTTCTATAGTTAATGTTTTGTTAGACCCGTAGTAGACCGATTTACAGGGGAGGGGGCAAAAAAGACACCGAGCCGAGTCGCGTATCAGTAAAGTTTTCGCAGCCCATACAGAAGATGTGGATACGAGTACTAGGGCAGAAGATACCCAAGATGTTCCTCGTTAAACAGGAGCAGGCTCTCGCTCATCATCTTCATGTATATCAAAATATGAAGTCATCTCCAGTCGCAGCCTGACTGGAGAAGACCTTTGGAATTCATGTCACCTCCAAACAGCTGCAAAACTTCATGTAAGGAGTTACCCTCGGCTACCTAGAGACGGCAATCTTGATCTGGGGGACCTCCAACATCGAGCCGCTCCAACAACCTCGCTACGGTCCAGGATATCATCTTCACTGCAGTCGCCAAGGCGCGGGTTGATGGTAGGGACCGGATGTCCTGGAATAGAATAACTGATATTTTCATCGTGGACCCCGGACAAAAAGTAAGCGCTGACGGTTACATCGACCAGCTCGAGGAGAATATCATGCCTTCATGTCGCCGCCTGCCATCTTGGAAACTTCGTACTGCTACAGGATTGGGGCCACCACCTGAAATCGAAATGCGTTGGAAACTCTCGTCTACTTGGAATGTAAGCCACGCTGAGTACTGAGGAGGACAGAATGTCGAAGCGTGTCACCTGAATTGAACCCCATTGATTACCGGGTTGGGGAGGAGCTCAAAGGGTGGTCTGCAGTGGCGGAGAAATCACGGATCTCGCTGAACTCAGGCATAGGATCACGGTCGCGCGACAGAATTTCTCAATAATGCTCATGCAGAAGGCTTTTGCGGAGTATCGTGATAGTGTACAGTATGGTTGAATGATGGTGGAAATGTCTGGCCGAAATTCAATAAAATGTAACTTATATCGCCTTCAGAGTCGACGGAGAAAAGTGTCTTTTTTTGCCTCCCCTGTATGGTCTTTATAGAATTTGTTCATACTTCGCAGTTGATCGCGCGATGGAGGCAGCGGAGCAGTGAAGTATGAATGGGCTCTGAACGTTTGGATCTTAATTCTTCGCAAGGTGTAAGGCTCATCCTGCTCCCCACGTCCTTGTTATCGCCTCAACTTTTTTAGCTATCCAAAAGCAGTAGGCATGATGGGTGGCGGTAGGCGAAACTGCTAACATTGTTCGTGGAAGGGCTGCGAAAGGGCATTGGCCACATCTCACTCAGCCTTCTACGAAAGACGTTGGCACTAACCGCCCGCTTCAGCTGTCGTGCTCACTGCCTTTACATTAAAGTTATTTCTTGATGTTATTAGTGAAATTGTAATGTTAAACGGGACCTTCGTTAATTTCATTGTGTTGCAGTCACTTCAATGAGTGTTTTCTGTGTGCACTCGTGTGGCTTCGCTACGATTGGTTTGGATGAAGTCCTTTTTGTTTGGAAGAGAGACGACCTCAACGATTTTTCCTTACCCTTGAATGTGTTGCACCGAATAGCCCAGGTCAGTGATGAATTCTCACGCTAGACCCAGGAGATTCCCATTTTTCAACGATGCGCCTGCTTCTAGATCTTTTCAACATCATGTGATGCTGATAAGGCTGGCGTACGTCAAGTATGCAGCCGTTTGCCGCCAATTCACTCTGTACCGATCGCTTTGCCTCCTCTATCCCGACATATCCTGTTCTTCTGTCCATCGTTGCAGGTGCCTTTTTGGAACAGGGTCGCTTAATATGCCTTTCCTAATCTTTTTCAGGACTTCTCAAGTCTGAATTTACCAAACTCACCATTTCTCGTTGCCTTATTTCTCAACGATGCCGAAGTACCTTGGGCAATGGCGTGTCCTAATCGTTTACTTTTCCGGCTAGGATTGAAATACAGCTGTAAGGGTTCAGTTTATGTCCTACAGTCATGAAACAGCCGAACGCTGACCACTTCATTGTGGATTCACCGTAATCTAATTCAGGGTATCCTACTCCCATTGTTAATGTTGTTGGAAGACAAGCAGTATTTTCAACGGAAACTTCTCAAACGGTTCTGAAGGCTAGTCTGACGAGTAGTGCATCAGTTTCTAGTGAATATTGTGTGAATCTAAATGTGAATGCTTAAGGTGTTCACAGACTTCCGGAGCTGGTCTTTTCGCATGAAACATCTTGCAGGAAGCACTGTTACGCTAAACAATGATGTGACCCTCGTTGAGATTCCAAAGTCCGCCAAAGATGACGTAAGTTTTTGTCTCGTGACTCATCTACACCTCGGGTGCATTTCCATGAATGCTTTTCCGATGTCATGTTCGCACTGATCGTTTTCCAAGTTTTGTCTTTGCGCGTGCATATCTAGCCTGATCAATGGGAGACGGCCAAGATAACCGCAGTTCGACGCGCCGTCGCGCGCTGCGCACCGTGCGACGATGCGCGGGGAACTCGTAATGTGACCCAGCTTCTCGGTTCGAACAGCGAAACTCATACGACACGACTCCATGACGGGCCCTCTCAAATTCTCATCCCTTCCACACTCACATTCGAGTGGTCAAGCAATAAAACTCGTCCATCATGCGCTGCATCGCTGTTCCCCTACCAGCGCGACATATCACGATCTTCTTGCCACATTCTCTTGAAATAGGAGCCTGCAGCATGCCATTGCTGCGAAATGAGAAGATATCGTGAAATCTAAGGAATATTGTAGAGTAAAGTTTTCTTTTTCTTTTTCTTTCTTAAAATTCAAGATCCTATTTTTCTTTAATTTCCAGCTGGGAGAAATTATCTCCTTCAATAGCAAAATGCTGGCCTGGTCAACTGGCATAAATTTGTCGGCTGACAGTCATCTGGTCTGTGATGAGACCGACGGTGTGTACTCGACACAAGTTTTGGCTCGGGGATCCTCTAGAAAAGGTGAATAGCTTTTTGTTAATTTCACGAGGAGCTCTCAACCAAGTCATTACAGCTACCGGTGCTTCATTTGTAATTATTGACGGTGGGCTAAAAACAAGTGGGCTGCAGGTAGGCAATGAAGAGCTCAGAAGTAGCATTCCATATGCTATCGCTTCTATTTAGATTTCCGTTGTGGAAGATGGTGTTGCTATTCGTATCCCATCAGAAAGGTTAGAAAACCTGCTCCAGGCACTCAGTTGTGGAGAGGTGAGATTTCGTAGCACGTACTGTCACCGCCCTTTGTTAATTTGCTATCATGTTGAAGAACTGGATCACCTCGGACACATCTGGCACTCAATTTATTGTTCGGTGGACAGACGGTTCCGGTCAGCCATTCCCGTTCGGGCCAGTCTCTCCCATTGATGGACAAAATCTTGCGGTGAGATCGTTGCGCACAAAACATACAGTGGAAATCTTTCCGTACTTGCAGTCCAGTCGTTTTCAGAACAAATTCCAGTACGGATTATCTTTGGAAAGAGCAATCACGTCGGTTCTCCAAGTAAACAGTGTTCCTGATTATGGTGTTCGTCTTTCACATGTCTACAATCTCAAGGACTGTCGCCTAGCCCCTGATGATGAACCGAAGGTGTTCAGGTAATTGTAGTATTCTTTTGTGACTGATTCGTGAAATAGATTCCGAAATTCTCAAAGAGTATTTCAGTATTGCGGAAATGTTAGCACGGGAATGTACTGGAATGCTCGAACCGTACCTGGCAATGCTGATCAACATGAATATTATGTGAGCTATTCTGCGAATTTCGGCTCATTTCGGTGACGCCGGAGGGGGAGAGCGGGAGGGAGCATTTTGCACTTTTTGTGTTTCACACTGTTTTCATGTCTCCCCTCAGGTGAAGCTCTGTTGATTACTGTGAGGCTGATGGTGTTTCATTGCTTTAGGCAGCGTTTAGACTTGTAGCGCTACAGCGTCGCGCTACAGCGTAGCGCTACAGCGTCGCTTCGCAACGTACTGCTATTTCCAACGTTAGGATGATTAGAGTTGCTTACAGAGAAAAGTGGAAAGGTTGCTGGGTTTTTCTTGAGAAATTCACGGAAAGGTGAGACTGATACTGCTGTAACTATCTGACGCCATCCTTGACAGCTACTCCATTAGTCACTATTCTTCTGGTACTGCTTTTAGCGTAACAGTGTCCTTCTGTCCTAATAAGAGTATCTTCTGCAAAAAAAAACACCCATAGAGTACTGGCGCCACCTAAAAACAAGCACGCATGTTTTTTTTTACCGGAGGTACAAGAACCATAAAGGAACTTCTTGTTTGCCTTTAACGCATTGGTGACCAGACAGTCTTCGCGTGCCTGTTGTGGGAGGTAGGGCCATTTTTTTCTGCTGCCGACAAATGCGACTGAATACTGTGTGTTGGTTTGCCATCTGTACGTGGATGCCAAAAACTATTTCGTCATCGAAGTCAACGTGAGGCACCACTGCAAGGCATCAAGCAAAGCCATCAAACACCAATAGCAACTCTGAAACCAAATAATTAAAGTCAAAAACGGTAAATAAAACTAATTATAACGGTCTTTTGTATCAAAAACTACATTGAAGTGTGATAAAGTAGAAAACAGGAGCTCGTTATCAGATAAATATGAGAAACAAAAGAAGGTTGAATACAGAAAGAACGAATACAGAATCCAATGCCGCTCATCGATTATGGAGCGAAATCTGCTTTTCGAGTTTGCCCCCAATCTCTGCCTGGATCACAGGAAAAAGATTTATGCTGGTTTTCGAGGCATTCACAGCCAACAAAGCTTTGACAGTTTCTTGTACTTTTTTTGGCCTAGGAGCGTATCAGGATTGAGTCGCATTTTGTCGGCAGCAGAAAAAAATGGCCTTATCTCCCACAACAGGCACGCGAACACTGTCTGGTCACGAATGCGTTAACACAAGGGAAACAAGATATTCCTTTATGGTTCTTGTGACTACCGGTAAAAAAAAAACATGCGTGCGTGTTTTTAGGTGGCGCGAGTACTCTTTGGGTGTTTTTTGCAGAAAATGCTCTTAATAAGACAGAAGGACACTGTGACCCGCTAAAAGCAGTACCAGAAAAATAGTGACTAATGGAGTAACTGTCAAGGATGGTCAGATAGTCACAGCTGTATCAGTCTCACCTTTCCGTGAATTTCTCAAGAAAACTCCAGCAACCTTCCCACTTTTCTCTGTAAGCAACTCTAATCATCCTAGCTGTGAAATAGCAGTACGTGGCGCTGTAGCTCTACGCTGTAGCGCGACGATGTAGCGCTACAAGTCTGAACGCTGCCTTAGAGTTTACAGATTTCCGCTTGTTAGCTCGACACTTCAGCGAAATTTGTTAGTATTGCTAAGCCTCCGTTTTTAGGTGGAAACTTTATTCAACGGCCTAAGCAGCGTTCAGACTTGTAGCGCTACAACTGTAGCGCTACGATCGTCGCGCTACAGCTGTCGCGCTACTGTCGCGCTACAGCCGTCGAGCAACAGCTGTATCAAGCATCCTATTTATATTTTTTCTTTCTGAATTCAACCTCTTTTTGCCATATTTATCTGATGCTGAGCTCTTTTCTACTTTACCGCATTTTTACCACATTTTAATAATGGAATGAATACAATTCGCAATCGGAATCAACACGAGGCACCAATGCAAGACATCGAGCAAAGAAATCAAACATCAGTAGCAACCCTAAAACAAAATAGAGTCGGAAACGAAAATAAAACCAATTATCATAGTGCTCTGTATCAAAGCTATGTAAAAAATGTGATAAAAAATTTGGTAAAGTAAAAAACAGGAGCTCAGCATCAGATAAATATGGCAAACAAAGAGAAGACGGTTAAATTCAGAAAGAAAAAATATAGAAGGAAGCTGGATACAGGTGTAGCGCGACGGCTGTAGCGTGACGACCGTAGCGCGACGATCGTAGCGCTACAGTTGTAGCGCTACAAGTCTGAACGCTGCCTAACGTTTCGACAAGGTCGTCTTCTCCAGAGGCCTGAACGTGTTTCGAGTTAAGGAGATGAACACTACCCTGTCAAGCGCCCAACCAACCCTAGCAGTTCCGATGACATGTTCGGAACTCCACAAGGAAATTCTACACAATACGAAATGTGCACCCACCAGAACTCCACCGTGAATCCGCCGTCACATGCGGATGTTAGTCAGTATTAAATGAGACTTACTCTAGCGTCCCCTTATACGTATAAAGTTGAGGAGACGCACGTATCACCGGCCACTATAATTCGCAGTACGGTATAAACGGCGAAAGTTCATTGGGGACGCTCATCTCGGTTGTTCATCCCAAAATTTCTGCCGGAAATCCAGAACGCCTCCACCGCCTTTCTTGTGAGTTTTCCGTCTCCTGCGCCAATATTGTGCACTTAATTTCGAAGTTGTTGCCGTTGTGCTCCTCAGTTCTATGCCTGCCCAGCGCTGTCGTGGACCTACTGCGCCTCATACCGGTGAGGTGTTCGTTAATTCGAACACCTAGCGGTCTTCCTGTCTCCGTGTATCTCTTTAAATGGGCAGGGACATACTTCTCGCAAGTACGAGACCTCGCCAAAGATCATCGACTAGCACCGATTCTGGCTGTCTGCTTCATAGGTAGGATCGAAGAGCCAGTGTTAGAACGTCGCCCAATAATGTACTGTAGTCTATCGATGATGTTTCATTATAACGTCAACGCAGTCCGAAATGGACGAGTGTTTCCGAATAATGAAGACTCACATGTGAAACTCCACGTGACGGTTGGCTCCCTTACCTCAACACTCAAGTAAAAGTATCCAGTAGCATTGTCAGCGTGAAGTGGTACCGTAAAGCCAGTTCAAAGAATGTCTTACTCCAGCTCTACATTAGCTCATCCACAAGCCGTCAAACGTGGAGTAGTCCGCTATGAACGGTTATACGGTGCCACGACGTCCTGGTAGCCAGTGCAGCAACATACGACAAAAACCGCGCCTGAACAGATTGCCGCTATGTCTTCCTTTCATCTCCGATACTATAAGCACTGCAGTACAGTGGAGTATTGTTAGAGCACAGTTACAAGATGTTGTCCATTTAGTTAACATCACTAACAGCGACATCAATCAGAAACTAGCTCGAAACAGGCTCTACGATCAACAGCGCATATCGAGAGATTGCGTCATTTGTCCACATGGCAGATTGGGGGATTGCACAGAATTAGGTGTGATCTACCAGATAGAAATTCAGACATGTGGATCCACATATAGAGATACATGGAGAGACAGGAAGACCGCTAGGTGTTCGAATTAACGAACACCTCACCGGTATGAGGCGCAGTAGGTCCACGACAGCGCTGGGCAGGCATAGGACTGAGGAGCATAACGGCAACAACTTCGAAATTAAGTGTACAATATTGGCGCAGGAGACGGAAATCTCGACAAGAAAGGCGCTGGAGGCGTATGGATTTCCGGCAGAAATTTTAGGATGAACAACCGAGGTGAGCGTCGGTCAACAACCAATGAACTTTCGCCGTTTATACCGTACTGCGAGTTATAGTAGCCGGTGATACATGCGTCTCCTCAACATTATACGTATAAGGAGACGCTAGAGTAAGTCTCATTTACTACTGACTAACATCCGTATGTGACGGCGGATTCACGGTGGAGTTCTGGTGAGTGCACATTTTGTATTGTGTAGAATTTCCTTATGGAGTTCGCTCGACGGGGTAGTTTCATCTCCTTAACTCGAAACACGTTTAGGCCTCTGAAGAAGACGGCCCTGTCGAAACGTTAGGCCGTTTAATAAAGTTTCCACCTAAAAACCTCAAGAGGGATAGCAATACTTACAAATTTAACAACAATGCCGAGGTTACAGCAAGAGAGAAGCTGGAGAATACTTCAGTGAAAAGTAGCAAAAGTGCAAAATGCACCCGCCCCTCGTTGCCCAACTGCGCCTGCGCCAATCCTCTGACAAAGTTCATAAACCTGCTTTCCAGGAGCGTATCAATTCGTGTGGGTGTGAGCGCTGAAACAGTGGAATATGATGTCTCACCATGGTTTGGCATGGAAGAAGAGCAGCTGCTGTATAAACAGAGTATGGATCAGGTAAATAAACTAACAGATCTGGTTCTTTCTCATATGAACATCTTTGCGATGATGGCAAAGGAATCGTTCCGCTAGAAGGCGTAGGCTGAAAATTCTATTTTCAGCTAATTCCGGTACTCTACGATATTTTGAGCTATTTATCCAAGGGATTCAACATCGAACTAGTGCTGTCTTTTGTTTCGACGAAGTCTCTTCCATATGTGATCTGATGAAGGTTTGAATTTCTCGGAAAATTAGACCCCAATCAAATTCTACTCAAATTTTTTTATAATTATCAAATAGGAAATTGGATGAATTGAGCTGTCTGCTGGTTTGTAGCCGTAAAGAAGGTACAACAATCACCCATTAGAAATGGCTGAGGTCTTTCGGCAGATGAACTTGGAGCGCAGTTCGGCTTGATGGGGGGGGGGTCATGCTGGCTCCCATCGAGCACTGTCGATGTCTCCAGTGGGGACCTGTAAACTCCTGTAAAACTATGCAATAGCAGGAACTCTGCTTACTAATGACAAGATTACGAGCCTCACTAGGGTGTGACGTGTAATTTAATAGGAAGTAACAAAAGCGCAGAATGTTCTCCCCAAGCCGAATAGCCGAGCGGGCTGGCATCGCGCCAAAAAGCACGTTGCCTTGGCAGTTTCAGACTGGCTGTAGTGATAACGACTACACAAACCAGCAAGGTGGTGGAGCGGGCCTGTCACCCCAGTAAATAGATAGGAAATGATCCGCTAATGTAGTGCTAATCTATGAGTTATCTGCGTAAGCTTAGCTAGATCTTCTTCTGAATTCTGGTTGAGTGCTACCTCAGTAGTAGGCATCAGTAACTCTGCACGATGCAAAAAAGCAAACATCATGTATAAGGATCGCTTTCCATTCCAGGTTGATTTCGACACAACCAAGAGGACCTTGTTGTTTATCCGATGATATGTGTAAAAGGAAGCTAGAATACTGAATTCGCTATATCTTAGTAATCTTCAAATTTACCAAAAATCCATGATTTTTACGTCCCAATGATTCATTCGCTACTCATTACGGTGTCTCACATCAGTTGGTGCTCTTTGGTTAATGTGTGTGGCTCCGAAATTGTGATATGTTGACGGTGGTAGAAAAAACGAAGTCATTATAGAATCTAACATTATTTTTCTTTATTGTTCTTAGTCGTGTCTGTTAATAAGGACTCGTTGTAAACAGCTGTGATATATTACTGTTGAGCGATACTTCTATTATACATTGTACTTTATTGGGTCACCTACTAAAACATGCTAAAAACATGATTCGCTGAAAATAAATTTTGCTTTCTAGTTGGTCAGCTTTTTTTTCAAAAAATGGAAGCGTCGTATTTAAGGGACGAAAATAAGAGAAGGGAAAGAGATAGGGATGGAAAGAATAGAAGGAAAGCAGAAGAAAAAAAAGATGGAGGCTCTGGATTTCCAGATTTTGTGGGACCAGTACTTTCTGTATGAGTTTTCAGCAAATTCGGTGAGAAATGTCGCGACCCGAAGTCGGCACTGGTACAAATATGGCTTGCCGCTCAAAGTAAATATTGTATTCGTAATCAGTGTGGTGGATAATTGCTAATGGTAAGAACGAAGTTGAGGAGGTCTACCGAGGCGGAAAAGAGTTGGTGAAACCGTCAGAGACTCTAGATTGCGGCCTCAGGGTACACAAGACCAGGCACTTGTGTTCTTTTCTGAAAATGAGTGAGAAATTAAGTTCAAAGTGCAGTCAGCATACCACTGACTGAGCAGCGCCATTCTTAACTCGTCAGTATAAACTAGGGTTACGTGACATATTGAATTTTTGTGCATGGTCCTGTTACGAAACCCTGTGACGCGGACGGGTGCCAAAGCATCGAAACTTGCAAAAAACGTAAGGGGAGCCAGGACACGGGATTTTTCAAGGGGAGGGGACTCCAAGGTGGGTGAGCTACTTGAGTCGGTGAAAAGCTGGAAAGAGCGAAGTCACAATGGCCATAAACAGGGTACAGCATGGGGATGTGCGAAATGGCGGTGTGAGTACGGCCCGCTCCCCCCTCGAACATGATCCAGATACGACCTTCCCCCTCCTGCTCTAACTGACAACCAGATGCATGTTCACACCGAATGGCTTCGTGAAATGGAATCTAAAATTTCGAAAGGCGGACTGTGCTCTAAAAACCAGGCAATAAAAGGCTGTTTCAGCCTCATGCAATATGAGGCTGAACAACAGCCTCGCATTACCTACAATTTTGTCTTAGGATTCAGAATAAAACTCGTCGTTCGATAACCATGTATGACATGCAACTTGTAAGAAGGAACACAATCGAAACAGCGACTAATGGTGATCAAGGTCAGCGTTGTCAGGCCCCAGATGTGCATTCAATGAATGGTGACGGGGAAATCATGAAAATATGCACGACACAACAAAGCGAAACATGAAAAACACAAAAAAATGCGGAGCCAAATGAAAAAAATGGATAATCAGGCGGCAGTATATCGTTCTATAGTTGGCTATTATCGATCGCAAGGCTGCAACCGCTTCCGTTAAAAAAACCTCATTGGAGCGCAGTTGTTGGACCTGCCAACATCCTGGGGTCTTTTCGGGGGTTATATCTCTTTGAGGGGCGCGGCTTTTGATGAATTGTTAACAGCATCAACGGGAATGTTCTTACTGTTGCGTTTTCTACCCAGCCGCAATCTGAATGTTTCCGCGTGTGAAATATTTCGGATGGGTTTCGGATCGGCTAGGAGTAAATAGCAAGCGGGTTTTTATGCTTCACACGAGGATTACTTATTTCGAACGCAATTTCATCAGGATTAAAATCGTCCTTAAACCCCTCCATCTTTTCTCTTTCCAATAAGCTTCACAGTTTTTCTGAAGACCCACTAGTTCAGGAGATATTTTAGATGGGTCACAGACGCGCTACCCTCTGACCCACCAAAAATCGACTCTTGTGCCATTGTGAGACACACCTTCGAAAACTTCAGTGTGCCTTCAAAACACACATTTCCCTTCAAATGAGTGAAAGAGGAGCTCGGCTATCACTGATCGATTTGGTCCGAGTGTGTGCCGTGCATTACACTCCTACGCAGAGGCGGTGGAAAGGTGTAAATTCTGATTTCAAGTGCTTTCACCTGTGCAAGCAGATGTTTGTTAAGGGTTTGGAAAGGACAGTACGCATGTATCTCTTTCGAGACGTATTATTTGGTCATCTACATACTGACGAATTCATGCTATTAATTGATATTTATTTTTTCATCCTTGCTATTCTTGCCATATTGCTAACCAATTTTTTATTTTTTTTCTATAGTCCTCCTCACAACCGAGTCTTCTGCAGCTTTCCGTCCGTTATTTATTCTTGATATTCTTGCTATATTGCTAATAGATTTTTTATTATTTTGTAGTCCTATTTACATCCGGGTCTTCTGCAGTTTTCCGTTCCTTCCATCAAGCTTAGCAATGACACTTTTGGACTGTTTAATGCCTAGCGAGTCTACTTTTGCGATACTCCCCACGTCGCCCGCGGCCAAGTGCGAACCCATTTTTGGGGATTACGCATGAAAGGAGGGCTGTTAAACCTAGCAGTTAAACTGTAAAGAATACACTCATAATAATTTTCATTTTTTTAACAACTTGACTTCCATAGCTTCACGCCCACTATCAACTGAAACTTCGAAGCATTGCCCGGCTGAGTGACCCTTGAGATCACGACCCCTTCCCCCCCCCCTTCACAGCGGCCAAGTACGACCCCCCTCTATGGGTTTGCACAACGATGCTGTACCCTGGCCATAGAGTGCCATGCAGACGAGAGAGTGCAGAGAAAAAGAGAAGATCGACGCCTTCAAAGGGATTGAGTTGAAATTGCTTGTAGACCATAAAAGGTACCGTGCAGGAGCCTGTGGTTGCTGCTACAAAATCCATCTTTTAAATTGATTTTCATTAAAGCAAAGAAACCCGTCAATGTCTAACATTCCTATTTTCAAGAACCACCTCAATACTATGACACATAAAAGATAGGGCTAGAGAAGGACTGGAGAACCAAAAATTCATCAAGGAGCACGGATTTTATTGATGCTTGTCACGCTGTGTTGCCGAATTGTCGGAAGGACCTCGTGAGAACTTCGTGCACGAGCATCAGAAAAAAAGAGGTCGACTCAGTGTAGCAGAAAAAGTGGCAAAGTCTTCCCTCCTCTTAGAGTCTTGAAACTGGAGCAGTGGGGACGGTTTCACATTTTTGCGAATCCCCTGCAGGTTCGTCTGATCCTCAGCAGTGCAGATCGTGCAAGATCAATAATCTTGTCAATCGGCCCCCGGAAATTTTTTATGTCGCCGTTTACTGCCCAGTTTTTTTTTGATTTTTAACCTCAGCAGACACGCGCAGTACTACTGCCGACTTAAGCTGTTCAGAGCTTCGAGTTGTATCATTGGGGCTGCTTCTGTTTTCTGAACTTGTCTTCAATTTTTGCAACGAACTTAATGGATACCATGTTTGAAATCGTTTCTATTCTTAGAAGATTTCCTTCCGAATATGATTTCTTTACCATTCGTCTCCTTTTGGACTATAGATCCCTACTTTCGTTTTGTTCTTTTTCCTCTTTCCCTTCTTTCTTCTTCATTCTTTTTTTTTGTCAATTATTCGGTGTGTTGTGCTCTCCTGTACCGTGGTTACGCTTTTCATGGGTGATTCAAACCAGAATCTCCAGTACTCCCATCAGAGCACGCGCTGCCCTGCCGTTAGGAAAATTTTTGTGAAAAAACGACACCTCAGATTTTTCCTCTCGTACGATCCTCCGTTTGCCCATCCTATCCTACCTATCGCCTTCGTGAAACTTTCCCATTTTACAGTGGGGGGGGGGCTGTTTCCAAATGTTCCTGCACTCTCTTTCCCGAAAGAAAAATCGCGGTGGACCTGGTATGACAGTGAGAATATATAGCGCATTGAAACAGTAAAAGACTAAAAAGTCAGCAACCGAGAGCATCTTTCCCAAAAGCAGAAAGTACTCCCTCCATCGAGCAATTAAAGACGACCCTTTCTCCTTCTTAAGGATTCTCAACGTAAGACGTGCCCTGCTGTAGACCCTTGAAGAGTGGAGGCCCCCTAGGGCACACCATTGGTTGGGGCTTTTGGTCAAGTCCATACGACCCCTTCCCCCTTCTTTAGGGGTTGGTACGACCCCTCCCCCCTCTGGTTCCCTACTCATCAAGGTGACAAGCGGGGGGGGGGATAGTACACATGAAACAGGAAAAGTCACTAAAAGCCAGACAACCCTCTTCAGAAGGTCAGGAGTAAATACGACCCCTTCTCCCTTTATAACGTCCGTGAAACAGGAAAAATCAACTATCAAAATTATTTTCTTAGCCCAAATACGACCCCCCTCTTCCAGCTACCAAATACGACCCTTTCCCACCCTGTTGGGGAATTCCCAATAGCGATATGCCCTGGGGTGCCCGTGATATCTCCGTTCCTATCCACGACATATCAACGGTACTCATATGGATTAGTTGGGTTCTATGTGCTCGTGATAGTTTGTACCATTCGTTGGGAGCTTTGACGATGAATCTGGCGATTGGGTCGGCATTCCTACAAGAGTTCGTTTGATATTCCAATGGAATCTTTCAGTAGTTGCTCTGGTTCAGCGGTCGTCATCAAATTATATGACGTGTGTGGCCTACATGGTTCTGATTGGAGGTGTCACCGATTTTTGACAGTTTTCCCAACTCGAAACTATGGACGTCTAAATATTTTAATGGAATTCAATATTTTACGGAAGAGGCTTCGTCTTTTCTCAACATTTTTTCCGCCCGCTTATATGGCCCACGGAACGGAACTACTGCATCTCGATTTTTAGGTCTAATGAAATTTGGGAATGCATTTTGAACCACTCGACGTCATCGCCATGGGATGGTGGGAGGACACTTGTGAGAACGTGCCTTCGTCGAAGTTC